TGTTTTATATTCAATTAACGTATGATCTGATTAGTCGACTAATCGAATAAATAATCGGTGATTAATCGATTGTTAAAATAATCGTTTGTGGCAGCCCTAATGAATATTAGAGCAATTTTGTTCACGGTAAGATATGATTGACTTTCTCTAAATAAGACTTTTTTTCTGTTTCTAAAGTGCTCAATGAAAATGTATCGCCTCAGGAGTTCAGGCCATGATGAATTCCAGTTCTGCCAGAAAGTAACAAATGGTGTGCTAACAAAATATAAAGCTTGTGTTTGCTTTAACCATTAAAGAAAAACAACAAAGAAATGTAGCCTTTTTTATTTGCTATTGTCAGTTTTTTTAATTTAGCTTTAAAAAAAACAACAAAGAACGAAGCACACACGGATTCAAATAGAATCTCTTTATTTGTCTTGTTTTGCTTTAAAAACTACGATCAGACTTTTATCTCTTTGGGGACCAGCTCACCAAGAAGAAACGGTTCTTTCAGCTCCCAAACAGCTGACGTGAAATCGTCTCAAAGCTGACTCCTTCAGCTCCTGAACGATTCTTTAAAAAGCCGGTTCTCAAACAGTAAGAATCGCTTCAGAACCGTTAAACCCATTGAAAACTGAGCCGTTTGTTTTGGACATTTGATTTAAATCCTACAATAAAGCTGGATTTGAGCTGTGAGACGTCGCCGAATTTGAGTTTATTTGCTTCTGCAGCTTTTAGAATAAACTTTAACTTTGTGTTTAGAGTTTTGTTGTGTGTTGGTCGTCATCATGCAGCTGCAAACACACGTCCTCCCTCTGGACCTGTAACCTCCACCGCCTGGTGCAGATCTCACTAAAACACATTTGTTGTTCAACATCAAGATGAGAAAATTGAACCTGATTTGATGGAAATGTGACCGACTCTTTGCTTGGGACGAGTAGCTTTGTTCAGGTTTGGCCAGCGAGTTAAGAAAATAAAACAAATAATTGGAACAAAGCTTTCTGATACATCAGTTTCAGTTTGAAGAAGTCATTTTTAAGTTTTATTATTGATTTAATTGATTTTAGTTTGGTCTTTGAAGAATATTTCTTGTCCTTTACTTGTTAAGCAGCTTCAGTTTGAACTGTTCATCTGCAAAGATAACCAGTTTTGATGGAGAGCGAGTGTTTGGTGCACGTATTTGTGTGTTTTATTCACTTTAGGAGGGTAGTCCCAAAATGTGAGATTAAAGAACTGAAAATTCAACAGAAGTTAAAAAATAAAACAAGGGAAAAGGAAACACTTTTCCAAGAAGCAGGCTGCAGTATAGTTACCCTTCAGGTCCATCCAGCTTTCGGGTCATGTGACCCTCAGTGAAGAATGGGTTCTGTTTGACCCTGGATCCTGATTGGTGGAGTTCTGCTCTGATGGTTCTCACATCTCTACAAAGGAACTCATTCATGGTTTCCTGTCAGACTGAAGCTCCTCGTCATCCATCAGCAGCCTGATTCATGAGGTCTTTCCTGGTTTCAAACATCTTTCGGATCCTTTGGAGCGCTTTACACGTTGTTGTCTTTAGTCTTGAATGGAGTCAGTCATGACGATCTAACAGATTATTCTTTTGATTTTATAAACCGTGGAAATTAATTTTAGACTGCTGTGTGTTCCTTTTAATTCCAGTTCAGTTGTAGAAGCATCTCTGTTAAAGAAGGATGACCAGAGTTTAGTTTTGTCACACAAAAGGTTTGTATACATTTTATTTATGATTCAGAGGAAATCTGGTGGAAGTGTTGACATACATTTTGTCAGGAAAGTCTGGAATATCTTTTTTTATACAAACTTCTTTTTTCATGTCTTTAAAGGTATCCATGATTAGTTGTAACATTAGACTTTACTTTATAAACACATATTTTAACTGTAAAATAAAGAGTAAGTGTAAAAATACTGTAGGCTGTTTAGTTTTGTAAATTTAAAAAATATTTTTAACACGGACAGAGCTATTTTATTTACACACAAAGCATTCTGGGTAAATGATGACGTCGGTGCGAGGGTGTGAGCGAGCTATATCCACCCTGAAGGTTAATCTTGGACAATATCTGATGATCGACTCTTTTAAATGAAACCAGAGAGCGCTGACAGAGAGGAGAAGGTAGAAATGACTCAGTCTGTAACTGAAAATATGGATGGAGGACCTTAGTTTAGCTTGTTAGTTTGCCGCGCTAGCTCTGAGCTAATACATATTAGGCAAAATAGTGCTAGCGCGAAGGCTAACAGGCTCCATATTTTCAGTTACTGGCTGAGTCATTTCTACCTTCTCCTCTCTGTCAGCGCTCTCTGGTTTCATTTAAAAGAGTCGATCATCAGATATTGTCCAAGATTAACCTTCAGGGTGGATATAGCTCGCTCACACCGAGGACCTATCCACGTCATTATTTACCCAGAATGCTTTGGGTGTAAATCAAGTGGCTCCATCCGTGTTAAAATATATTTTTAAAAATTTACAAAATTAAACAGACTACAGTATTTTTACAGTCTTTATTTTACAGTTAAAATAAATGTTTATCAAATAAAGTCTGCTACAACTAATCATGGATCCCTTTAAATTATTAAGTTATGTACAGAGTCCAGCTTCCTTCTGCACTGAAGACTTTTTTTTGACACGTAAATGTCACTTTTGCAGTGTACCCAGGCGCAAACGTTTCTCTTAGCATTGAGGTGCACAAAGAGATAAAAGTTTTTTTTGCCTCTCTTGGAATAACAGATTAACAGTATTATCTCAGGAGTCTTGAGTATAGTAAAATGTGCAAAACCTGTTTTTATGCTGTTAGTGCTCATATATCTTCTTTATGTAGCTGTAAGTTGTATCGGACAACATAAAACCATAATTTCCAGCAGAAAACTGTTAATTCTTCAGATTAGAAACTGAAGTTCTGCTCTCAAATCTACTACATAAAAAAATTGTGCACCATTTTTTTTGCACTCTTGTTGATATTTGTTGGACTCTAGTTTGATATTTTTAGCTAGTTTCACATCAGTTTCTGTCACTATAGTCAGAACAGACCATTTGGATTCGGTCTGTATGTTTGTTCCTGCATTCTTGTAGTTTTCTTTTAGTTTGTCTTCTAACTGGTAACAGCAGCGATCGGTGAGCTTTGACTCAGAGCAGCCTCTCTCCTCAGGGCCGAGCAACACATTTACAGCTCTGCCTGCTCGCTGCTGTGTATCTACAGCAGAATCAGCCACCGGAACCATTCATCATACCGTTTAACCTTCACACAGCCACCATGATGCAGCAGAAATGTTGTGAGTCTGCCTGTCAGGCATGAAGAAATCACATGATCTCAGTTCCTGAAAGCTGCACTTCCACATTTCTTACAGAGTCAAAGAAGAAATAAAATCCACCTTCTTTCTGTTTTGGCTTTTATCAATCAGGATATATTGTAAATGATCTGGTTCTATAATTATTTGAATCTGACCTCAAGTATACAAAACACACACATGCAATTAATTTGAAACACAAACAAAATAGGAGAGCTGTGCATGAAGGTCATCCCAGCAGCTTGTAGAACCTCTTTTAGCAGCAGTAACAATAGAGCTTTTCTGTTTTTATCAGTCAA